ATCACATCATATATTGGCTACTTAATAACATGGAATCATTATCGTGAATCTTTGATGTCATGCAGTACTAATATATTTTTTAACCTCAGAAACAATGTTGGGCTCTCAGGCAAAAACACTGCTGTTATTTCTGCTTCTGGATCATCCGAGAGGTAATGAATCTACTTTTATCTTCTTTCAATATGAAGATAATAAGTGATTATGTATTCATGGGTGATTCTATTAAAAAATGTAGTCATCAGTCACAGTCTACATCGTATAGTTTTATTTATATGGTAAATGTTTTCTCCTTGGCGGTGTTTTCCAAAAATCTTTTCTGCTTGATATGCTGCTAGCTTATGTTTGTTGCTTCGAACCATTGGCTTGTTTTGGGGCCTGCAAAGAAAGGTGACATTTCTTCGCTACGGCACTTCACACTTATGCTTGAAGATAAAATGAATTACAAATAAGAACACTTTATGGCTTCAATTTTGCATTGACATTGACCTTTATGTCAATTTATTCTTTTCAGATGGCTGGATAAATGTTGTTATATATTGTTATTTTTTTGCTGTTTTGCGATGTTTGTTCCTTTTTCATGAGGTCCACGGTTCCTTATATGTTTTTCCAAAGTGAGTTAAAAGAAATAAATTTCAACTTAACATCAGTTTCCACTAAACAAGGAAAGTTATTCCAGCTTTTGGCTGGTTATTTTGTCCTTGTTTTATGTAATCATTGCACATCATCTAAGCTTGGTATTTTAGCATTAAATTTTCTGGTGTCTGTCCTTTTATAGAAATTTGTCAACCTCTGCTATAATGGAAAGAATCCCAAGCAAATGGCCCCGTCCTGTGTGGCATCCTCCATGGAAGAATTATAGGGTAAGGACCCTACTTTTTGATTTAATGGGTAATAAGATCATTTTTGGTATTATTTTTTGGTTATTGTTTTATATACTATGATAGTAAAATTATTTTCCCTTGCTGCCTTATACATAATACACATTATTTTTTATCTCCAAAAAAAAAAATCCCTTGTACATAATTTTTTCATTTAATTTATAACATGTTAATTGTTTGAGAACAATATGAGATCATTTCCCTGTTTTGTCTACATTTATAATGGCTGAGGACAAGCTCTAAGTAGGAGTACTTCTTTTCTTATCAGAAGCTAATACGTGATCTTATCTAAGCTTCTCTATATTTATACTTGTACAACATGCTTTTAGAACCATGTATCTTTCTTTTGTCTTTTTGTTCGAAATGGCAGAAAGTGCACATTCAACAGCTTTTGTTGATTGCAAACTTCCATTTCTTGTACCGCTCTTGCAGTATCTTTCTCATCCAAAACTATTGATATTTGTGATAAATGTATGATTAGCTCATATGTAGTCAAATCTAGACCTACTTATTCTGATGTGCAATCTTATATAAAGCTTCTATGCATATATACTCATATAACATGTTTTTAGAACCATGTATCCTTGATATACAATAAAAAGATCTTTAAGTGAATATAATTCAGTATTAAGAAATGTTTGTATGATTGTAATGTATATGTACTATTAAGGTATTTAGTTTATTTAGGAACGAGTATCTATAGAGTTATTAATGGTATCAGTTTATTATTTTCTATTTTTTTAGGATACTATTTAGTTATTATTTATTATATCTTATTAATTAATTGACTAATTTTTCTATTTCGTAAAATTCCTAGATAGGCTTAAGAATTCTTATTTTGATTATATTCTGGTACCTGTGAATAGGGTATTCATAGTTTATATATTTGGTAAATTATATTAGTATGGATTGTACAAATATTGAATTATTAATTTGATTATTAAACTCGGAGATCTCTAATTCTACTTCTAGTAAAACTTCTCAAGTATTGTACTCAAACTCTTTCTATTCTACCTCAATTAGTATAAGACTCTACCTTCAATCATCATGCAATCAAATTTTTTGTCAAAAAATTAACTGCTGGTGGAAACAGTAGCGTTACAAAACCCTAAAGCATAACTAAGGCAAACCGATAATTTTGATTCCTTGCTGTACATGAACATTCAAGGAAGAAACTGTCAGCTACAAGTATTTGATGGTCGCAGGGAAGGTGGGCATCACTGTCCTGACTAACCTGCTCTCTGACTCTCACCCCAGTATTTGCCAGAAACAACCACAACTCGCTGCTTGAAGTTGCTCTGAACGCTGACTTCCCTGAATCTATCATTCCTGATAACATCAACAAACACTGACATCAGATCTGAAGCTGGGCCTCCAGATTACTCCCTGGCCTAAAGGCCATCGGCAACAGACCACTTGAAGTTGGCCTAGGACTCCTATGTACTGATCACTTTGCATG